GAAAGAACGGGATCTGAGCATACCTGCTGTAATTGAAAAGCATGAACTAAAGCTTCCCTCCTGTGCTGACATATTCATTAGTAACTGTTCTATTGTGAACTATAGAACCAGGTAACTGGGCATGCATTTTCCAATTTCAGAAGGCATACTAGTTTCAAAATTAATTGACCACTTCACATTCTCTCCAATACCACCTCACCTCTTCCCAAAATTTTAGCAGCTCCAAGCTATCCCAGCATTCCCTGTATGAAACTCTTCCATTATGCTTCTGTCACAGAATCAAATCCACACGAATCAAAGTCACAGAACAGTGTCTGTACTGCTTGTGGCGCTCTGTCCCCCTTTCATCCTCCTTGCTTTCAATACCAAAAGCCAAGTGTGTGGCACCACGGTTGGCTCTGCTGCACAGCAGGAGAGGAAAAAGACTATGAGAGCTCTGGTGAATGGGGACTCAGTTGCAAGGGGAACTGACAGGCAGTTCTTTGGCTATAAATGAGACTCTTGAATGGTATGTTTCCTCTCTGGTTAGGGATGCCTCAGACTGGCTGCAGGGCATTCTGAAGGGGTAAGGTGAACAGCCAGCAGCCATGGTATGTATCAGTACCATTAAAAACACATTAAAAACAGGCGAGGCTGTTCAAAAGGATTGTGTCAGAGATTGCTTCAAAAAGAAATTAGGAAGGCAAACAGGGGCCATGAAATATCTTTGGCAAATAGGATCAAGGAAAACCCTAAGGCTTTCTATAAGTACATTAAGAGGAAAAGGATTACTAAAGAAGGGAAAGATTGGGACCTATCAGAGACCAAAGAGGCAACCTGTAGGTGGAGCCAGAGGACGTGGGTGAAGTCTTAAATGAATATTTCTCATCTGTATTCACAAAGGAAAAAGACATTACAATGGAGATTTCAGTTGGGATGGTGAGGTTCTAGAGGGTATTAAGATTAATAAAGCTGGAGGTATTAAATGTTTTAGCAGGTACACAGTGCATAAATGGGCCTGCTGAGATTTATCCCAGGCTGCTAAAGGAGGCAAGGGAGGAGATTGTTGGAGCCCTAGCAGAGATATTTAACACTTTGCTGGCCACAGGTGAAGTGGCAGAAACCTGCAGGATATTTAAAGTGCTTCCTTTGTTCAAGAAGGGCAATAGGGAAAGCCAGGTAGACCAATTAGTCTGACAGCAATGGTAGGGAAATTATTAGGAAAATTTTGAGGGACAGGATTAATTAACACTTGGAAAGGCAGGGATTGAACAGGGATAGTCAGCATGGATTTGTTACAGGGAGATTGTATCTGAGAAATTTAATTGTGTTTTTTGAAAAGGTGACTAAATATACTCATGAGGGCAGTCAGTTGATATGGTTTATACGGACTTCAGGAAGGCCTTTAACAAAGTCCTACATGAAAGGCTGGTTTAAAAGGTAACAGCCCATGGGATCCAAGCTAAGTTGGGAAACTCTATTCTAAATTGGCTTACAAATAGGAAGAAAAGGATTATGTTGTAGGGTTGTTTTTGTGATTGGAAGCCTGTGACCAATGGTGTACCACTGGGGCCCTTGCTGTTTGTCTTGTGCATTAATGATTTGGATGCGAATATAGAAGATAATAATTATTACGTTTGCAGATGATTTGAAAATTTATGGTGTTGTTGATAGTGAGGACGGTTGTCTCAGACTACAGTTTAATATTGATCAGCTTGTAAATTGGGTACAGCAATGGCAGATGGAATTTAATTCTGGTAAGTGCAAGGTGATGCATTTTGGGAGGTCTAACAAGGGAACGATATCCACAATGACTGGTAGGTTCCTCGGGAATACTGAGGAACAAAGAGACTTTGGTGTACAAGTCCATAGAACCTTGAAGGTGTCAGCACAGGTACATACGGTGGTGAAGAAGCCATACAGAATGCTTGCCATACAGGCATAGAATATAGGACCAAGGAAGTCTTGTTACAACTTTACAACACATTGGTTCAACCACAGCTGGAATACTGAGTGTAGTTGTGGTCACCACATTACCAGAAGGATGTGATTGCACTGGAGAGGGTGCAGAGGAGATTCACCAGGATTTTGCCTGTGTTTGAAAGTCTTAGTCATGAAGATATACTGGATAGGCCGGATTTGTTTTCCTTGGAGCAGGCAAAGCTGAAAGGAGATCTGATTTAAGTATACAAAATGATGAGGGGCATAGACAGGGTAGATGGTGAGAATCTTTTGCCCATGGCAGACATGTCTGAGACAGAGGGAATAAGTTTAAGGTGAGGAGGTGGATTAGAGTAGACACAGGAAAAAATCTTTTAACCCAGAGAATGGTACAGTTAAGGAACATGCTGCCTGAGACGGTGATGGAGGCAGATACTCTTGCAACATTTATGAAGTATCTGGATGAGCACTTAAAATGCCAGGTCATAGTAGGCTATGGACTAAGAACAGATAAATGGGATTAGTATAGTTTGGTGTTTGCTGGTCAGCACAGACATGGTGCATCAAAGGACCTTCTATGCTGTTTAACTCTATGATTCTAATCAATCATTTCATCTCCTTGTGCCTCTTGTCCACTGGTGTCTTCTGGTACCACACTAATAATCACTTACAAAGCTTCATGGCCTCTGCTAAACCCCGAGGTTCCAGTCTTGAATACTTCACCTTTAGCATTTACATCCGAGAAGAAGGTGATGTCATCCAGAAGGTTGAAGGGATTTTTCACGAAGTCCCTGTTGAACCGCAGATCAATCTCACCTCCTCTATTAACCCACAGGTTATTTATTGAAGTCTCTCCAACATTCCTTACCTGAATCACTTCAATGCCAGCAGGAGCAAAGCCATTCACTGCCCACAAGCCCCTATGAACCCTTATTTCATCTCTCCCATGCTGCTGTCTCTTTTTCACTACAGGGGTACACAACCTTGACATGTTACTCAACCATTTCTCAGCCATTGTGTCATCAAAACTGCTTCCTTTCACATCGAAAACATTGAGCACTTACAGTCCAGACCTCTACTGCTCCCTAAATCATAATTTTATGAACTACGGTTGGCATCCTGTAAAGGCCTCTTGGCTAGTCTCTCTAATTCATTTCCCATAAACAACAAATGTCCTCTCCCACAATCATATCAATCAGGTCACTATCATCAATAAACTCCACTGACTTCCTGACAATTGACATTCAGATTGTTATTCTCTCCTTCAGAACTCTCAATGGTCTTCTCCTCTCTCAATCCTTAAACCTGCCATCAGGTTCTCTTGCCTTCTGTCCACAATTGAAAATATGCTCTCAGGTTCTACCGATACCCCATCCCTGCCACCTGCAACTCCACAATCCCCCTTTCTTGACTCCCTCCCTTCTTACACATACCTCCTCCTCTACTTGTTTATTCACTTGTCATCTTATCATCTTCCAAGAATTAGAACTTGTTCACCCTACTTGGGCATTTTCCTCATAGTTTCATCACATCATTTCCACCTCCAAAATAGCTGACCCTCCTGCCATATGAAATAGCTCCCCAGAGGTCGGTATCCTGTCACCAAATCACCCTTTATTTACATGTGGACACTGATCCAGCTCCCTCAGAGCCAGCTCTCAGAGCGTACAGGATGTCTGACAGCCTGTTCCTATTAGTCAGCTAGGGCTCCCTGATTGGACCAGGTTAACAGCCCTAATCATGGAACTCACATTTATGAGATTCACCTGGTTGACCCCATTACAATCACTACACCATAAGTCACCATCCTCTTCATCCTCAAGTACACCATACTTACCCTAGTCAGACAGTGAACAGCCTCTTGGTTTTATCATTCCTGATCATAGAATCCCTACAGTGTAGAAGCAGGCCATTCAGCCCATCAAGTCCACACTTCCCCTCCGAACAGCATCCCACTCAGACCCACACCACCACCCCCCCAACCCTATCCCTATAATCTTGCACTTCCCGTAGCTAATCCATCTAGCCTGCACATTCCTGGACACTATGGGCAATTTACCATGGGCAATCCACCTAACCTGCACATCTTTGGACTGATACTTGATATTTTTATAAAAGAAAGCTTTTGTCCAAGTGGGTGAGAATGCATGCAAAACAGCAGCAGTGGGTGGCACAGTGGCTCAATGGTTATCACTGCTGCCTCACAGCACCAGGGACCCAGGTTCATTTCCAACCTTGTCGACTGTCTATGTTGAGTTTGCACATTTCTCCACTTCCGCTGGGTGCTCTGGTTTCCTTCCACAGTCCAAAGATGTGCAGGCTTGGTGGATTGGCCATGCTAGATTGCCCCTAATGTTCAGGGATGTGTAGATTAGGTGTGTTAGCCATGGGAAATGCAGGGTTACAGGGAAAGGGTAGGGGGATGGGTCTGGGTGGCATGCTCTTCGGAGGGTTGGTGTGGACTTGTTGGGCCAAAGGGCCTGTTTACACACTGTGGGGATTCTATGATGATCTCTCATAAATATTTAATCAAAGATTGAGAATTACCTAAAAGAAAAGCTATAAATTGAAAAAAATGAAGTATATCATGTAAGAAAAATACAACTTTAAACTGAGTAGGATTTTTATTTCACTTTTTGAAAATTAGCTTAATATTGTGCTTGCACATTAGATTGTTCAGATTGATGGTACCAGTAAACATTGTTTTTTAAAACTGTGATAATTTTAGATTACAATAGTATCCTTGAAATTAGTGTTCAATTCCAGAATAATTCTTCAGTATTACATTAGTGTTAGCAATTGTCTGACACATATACCACGCTGTACCTAACATTATTCACTTTGTAAAGATACATCTCTATTCCTAATATATATGCCTCTGTACCTAACATTCACTATAAACATACATCACTCCGTAAACATACATCACTCCGTAAATATACATCCCTCTGCACTTAACATACATCACTCTGTTCTCGACAACCAGTTTTTCCAGTTGATGTTAATTTGCACCTTTTGATATCGTGATACAGACAAGGGAGATGAAGGGAGCAACTTTAAAAATATAAAGGGAAGCATACCTGAAGATCATTGTGCTCTCCTGCATCAAATTGTGTCTCCTTTTTAACTGATCTCAAGGTTTGCATAAGGTCCATCAAAATCTTCTGACGTTTCTTAACCTCATAGCAGTTCAGATTGTAGTGGTTCACTGCATCATAAAGATGTTTACTCAGCAACTCTTTGGAACCCTAGAAGATCAAAAATGCAGCAGTGATGGAATAGTGAGTTAGAGGTCCAGGAATTGATATGGTGCCAACTTTAAAAGAGTTAAAAGTTAAATAAACCTCAGCATCATCACCCTGCGACCATCCCACCCGCCATCCTTGCCAGTTATACAACCATGTGGCCGTTTCATTTAATTGATTGTGCTCAGCACTACTCAGCACTTCAAAGCCTCTGAGGAAGGGTCACCGGACCCGAAATGTTAACTCTGTTTTCTCCTCCACAGATGCTGCCAGACCAGCTGAGCTTTTCCAGCAACTTTGTTTTTGCTCCTGGACGGATTATACCTGGGCAGGATCTGGACTGAGGCCGGCGGACATAGTAGAGTGGTTGGGGAGGGTTTAAACTACTGTGGCAGAGGAATGGGAACAGGAACCAGAGGAGTAGGGCAGTAGATGCAGAAATTGAGGGAGAGGCAGATACCGAGGTAAACATGATTAAGAACAAAAACAGGCAGGGAAATGCTGCTGAAAAGAGTAGGGGAGATGGTCTGAAATGCATGTATTTCAGTGTGAGAAGTATAAAAACGCAAGGTAGATGAACTCAGAGCTTTGTTAGTACTTGAAACTATGACATTATTGCGATCATGGAGACGACTGAAAGAGGGACAGGACTGGCAGCTGAAAATACCAGGATTTAGATGTTTCAGGTGTAATTGAAATGGATATAAAAGGAGTGGGGGAGTTGCATTACTGGTAAAGGAGTATCTCAGAGTGAAACTGAGGGAGGATACATCAGAGGACTCATGAAGCAAGGTAATATGGGTAGAACTGAGGAATAGGAAAGGTGAAATCACAATGCTCAGGGTATACTACAGGCCTCCCAACAGCCAGCAGGAGATGTAGGAGAGAACATGTAGAGAGACTTCGGAAAGATGTAAAAACAGCAGGGTTGTTGGCCTGGGTGATTTTAACGTCCCCCCACAAAATTGACTGGGACTCACTTTGTGATAGGGGCTTGGATGGAGCAGAATTTATAAGGACCATTCAGGAGGGTTTCTTGACACAATATGTAAACAGTTCAGCCAGGGAAGGGGTTATACTGGACCTGATTTTGGGAAATGAGCCCGACCAGATGAGTGAAGTTTCAGTGGGGGAGCATTTTGGGAGTAGTGACCATAATACCATGAGTTTTAAGATACTCATGGATAGGGATAACAGCAGTCCTAGGGTGAAGCTGTTAAACTAGGGGAAGGCGAACTACAACAATATTAGACAGGAACTGGAGAGTGTTGATTGGAGACAGCTGTTTGAGCGTAAACCCACAATCGGACATGTGGGAATATTTCAAACGCCAGTTGACAAGAGTTCAGGAGTGGCAGGTCCCTGCGAGAATGAAGGATAGATATGGCAAGTTATGTGAATCTTGGATGACAAAAGATGTTATGATCTTGGTCAAAAAAAAAGGGAAGATATGTAAGATCTAGGGGGATGGGACCTGACAAACACTTTGAAGTATAGAAGAAGGAAAGAATATGGAATCAGAAGGGCCAAAAAAAGGGGTATGAAAAGTCATTAGCAAACAATATTAAGAAGAATCCCAAAGCTTTTTATACATACCTAAAAAGCAAAAGGGTAGCCAGGGAAAGAGTTGTACCACTCAAAGACAAAGGAGGAAATCTACGTGTGGAGCCAGAAGCGGTAGGTGAGTAAACAAACACTTTGTGTCAGTATTCACTAAAGAGAAGGAATTGATGGAGGATGATCTCAGAGAAGGGAGTATCAAACTCTAGGCCAAGTTAAAAGTCAAGTTATTAAAAAGAGAAAGGTGTTGTGCGTTTTAAAAAGTATTAAGGTAGATACGTCCCTGGGTCCTGATGGGATATATCCCGGAATATTGAGGAAGACAAGAGAACAAATTGCTGGAGCATTGATAGGGACATCTTTGTATCCTCTTTGGCCACAGGTGAGGTCCAGGAGGACTGGAGAATAGCCAATGTTGGCTCACTGTTTAAGAAAGGTGACAGGGATAACACTGGAAATTACAGGCCTGAGAGTCTCACGTTGGTGGTAGGAAAATTATTGGAAAAGATTCTCAGTGACAAGATCTGTATGCATTTAGAAGCAAATGGACTTATTAGCGATAGACAGCATGGTTTTGAGAGGGGCAGGTCATGCCTCACTAACATGATCTAGTTTTTTGAGGAGGTGGTGAAGATGATGGACGAGGGAAAAGCAGTTGATGCTGTCTACATGGACGTCAGTAAAGCCTTTGATGAGGCCCCTTATGGCAGACTGGTACAAAAGGTGAAATCACAAGGCAGATAAGATGGTAAAAAAAGGCCTATGGCATGATTGCCTTCATTGCAAGGGGCATTGAATATAAGAATAGCCAAGTTATGCTGCAGCTTTATAGAACTAACAAGATGGATAGAGAACTGGATGAGTCACAGGAGACAGAGGGTAGCAGTGCAAGGATGCTTTCTGGAATGGAGGGTTGTGACTAGTGGTGTTTCACAAGGATCAGTGCTGGGACCTCTGCTGTTTGTGGTCAACAGAAATGATTTGGAGGAAAATGTGACTAGTCTAATTAGTATGTTTGCACCTGATACAAAGATTGGTGGAGTTGCGGACAGTGAGGAGAATTGTCAGAGGATACAGCAGGATATAGATCAGTTGTAAGCATGGACAGAAAAATGGCAGATGGAGTATAATCTGGACAAATGTGAGGTGATGTATTTTGGAAGATTAGGTTCAGGTGGAAATTATAGTGAATGGCAGAATCCTTTGGAGTACTGATATGCAGAGGGATCTGGGTGTGCAGGTCCACAGATTACTGAAGGTGGCAGCGTAGGCAGATAAGATGGTAAAAAAAGGCCTATGGCATGATTGCCTTCATTGCAAGGGGCATTGAATATAAGAATAGCCAAGTTATGCTGCAGCTTTATAGAACTTTAGTTAAGCCACACTTGGAATATTGTGTACAGTTCTGGTCACCACACTACCAGAAGGATGTGGATGTTTTGGAGGGAGTACAGAAAAGTTTTACCAGAACGTTGCCTGGTATGGAGGAATTTAGCTATGAAGAAAGGTTGGATAAACTGGGTTTGTTTTCACTGGAATGCAGAACGTTGAGGGGTGACCTGATAGAAATTTATAAGATTGTGAATTGCATGGATAGAGTGGAAAGTATGAGTCTTTTTCCCAGGGTGGAGGGTTCAATTATTAGCGGACACAGGTTTAAGGTGTGGGGTGCGGGGGGAAGAGATGCTGTGTGAGGTAAGTTTTCAACACAAACGGTGGTGAGTGCCTGGAACGTGCTGCCAGAGATGGTGGTGGAAGCAGACACAATAGCAGCATTCAAAATGCACCTGGACAAATACATAAATAGGAAAGGAATAGAGGGATATGGATCCTGTAAATGAAGAGAGTTTTCGTATGGAAGGGCAAAAGGTATTGATACAGGTGTGGAGAGCCAATGGACCTGTTCCTGTGTTGTATTTTCTTTGTCAGGGCCAGAATTTGCAGGCAATTTTAACCGAAGTGGTCCACGATCCCTCAGGCCAATTCTGAAATATGATCCAATGAATTAAATCACCTCAGCTGTCTTTGATATCAGCAAAGTTCTGTCTCAATCCATTACTCAAAACAAGTTGGAACACTCAATTCTTCCCCATTGTAAAGGACTGTACTGATCAGCAGTATGACACTACTTCCTCTGTGGTTTCTATTGTAGTAGAGTTGGTTAGTCAAAACGTTAGAAGGAGCTTTACAGATGTCTCTGGAATTATCCATGTTTGACGTAATCACCTGCAGTAACAAAGTCATAGGTGACAGACTTTCTGTCAGCTTTGCCTTTGCACAATATGACAGCAAATTTGTTCCATTTCAAATACTCAGCTTCATTTACATGCATGTCACTCAGTGGTGCAAACCACGAATGAAATAATAGTCACAAAAACTTCAACTTACTGGACAACTTCAAGTTACTATATGATGATGATAGCAAATATATTTCTTGTCAAAACAATAAAGGTTCAGCAACTCAGGAATATTTAGGTGTTATCTGTATCATTACAAAAGTTGTTGGACTCTGACTCACAAACAGTATTAAATCTTCTCAATGTTCTGTAATTCAGCATGCTGATTCACTGTAGCCTCATTGTGGGCATCCAGCTGCCTCGGGATTTCCTTAATTCCATAAGGATGGAGAACTTATCTATTGAAATATTTCAAGCTGCCCTGACACTAGACAGACAACATAATGCAAATATGGAAGGTAAGTTGTGAGCTGATTGAGGGTTGAGGAAAGCACCAGGAGAGGGAGCTGTTGCAGGTTGAGTTAATAACAGCATGTAGCATTCCTCATCTAATCAGCCCTGCACTGCAACTCCCTCCTGCCTTCAACACGCATGACAGACTGACTTTGTCAGAGAAATCATTGAGTGCTGTCAGAGCTGTCACTCATGGAGCCTTTTCTGGTCAATTTATTTTGACTCTTGATGGATGTTACTGTGATTCCCTGGGGAAAACAGGAGAAAAGTTGTAGCTGGGGAATATACAGGATGACAAATTGAGCCTTCCTATAAAAAGTGGCAAGTTGATCGGATTTGGAAATGTGCGCACTATCACCTACTCGAGGGCAATTAGAAATAGGCAACAAATGCTCACCTTGCCCTCATCCCAAAAAGGAGAACAAAACTCCAATTTCAGACCAGCCTGACCCAGTGTTCCCTCTAATTTTTCTGTGACCTGTGTGAATCTGGAGTAGTTGAGCAGCTCAGTGCATCCATTGAGAGAAGTCATATTGCAATTTTTTAATGTTTATTACCTATTGAAACTGTGCATTTATATTATTTTTACAGTTACAGGTATTCTATCTGCTAAAATAACAAACTTGTTTGCTCGGCTCAGCAGTCTGGGGGCCTGTTTAGTGGCAGCAATATGAATATAATGTAGATGTTGTTACCAGAGGACACGTGTAATTTATTCTCTCCTTTGTTGGCCACTTTTTGCACCTATCTTTA